AATCCATCTTGTTGAGGGCTTTCCCCTATTTTGTAGACCCTCCACCTTACTAAGCATGACATCCTTCTCCAGAAAATGGACCCTTCTGATAACATGACCAAAGTAAGTGAGATGAAGTCTGGCCATTCTCGCTTCCAAGGAGCTTTCCAGCTGCACTTCCTCCTGGACAGATTTGTTAGTTCTTTCAGCAGTCTATGGTACTTTCAGCATTCTTCACCAGCACCACAACTCAGAAGAATCGACTCTTCTTTGGTCTTCCTTATTCATTATCCAGCTCTCACATGCATATGAGGCTATTGAAAATATTATGGCTTGTGTCAGGCACACCCTAGTCCTCAAGGAGACATCTTTGCTCCTCAGCACCTGAAAGAGGTCTTTTGCAGCTGACTTGCCCAGTGCTATACATTATCTGATGTCCTGACTGCTGCTTCCTTTGGCGTCGACTGTAGAACCAAACAAGGTGAAGTCTTTGACAACTTCAATCTTCTCTCCATTTATCGTGATGCTGCTTATAGGTCCAGTTGAGGATTTTCCTTTTCTTTATATTGAGATAAAATCCATATTGCAGACTGTATTCTTTAATCTCATCAGTAAGTGCTACAAGTCATCTTCACTTTCAGGAAGCAAAGTTGTGTTGTCAGCATATCGCAGGTTGTTAATGATTCTTCCTCCAATCCTGATGCCACGTTCTTCTTCATATAGTCCAGTTTCTTGGATTATTTGTTCAGCCTACAGATTGAATAAGTATGGTGAAAGGATACAACCCTGACACACTCCCTTCTTTATGTTAAACCATGCAGCGTCCTCTTGTTCTGTTCAAACAACAGCCTCCTGGTCTATGTACAAGTTCCTCACGAGTACAATTAAGTGTTCTGGAATTCCCATTCTTCTCAATGTTATCCACAATTTGTTATGATCCACACAATCAAATGCTTTGCATAGTCAATAAAACACAAGTAAACATCTTTCTGACATTCTCTGCTTTGAGCCAAGATCCATCTGATATCAGCAATGGTATCTCTTGCTCCATGCCCTCTTCTGAATCTGGCTTGTACCTCTGGAAGTTCTCTGTCAATACACTGGTGCACCATTTTTGAATTATTTTCAGTAAGATCTTACTTGCATGTGATATTAATTATTTTGTTCGATAATTTCCACATTCTTTGGGATCACCTTTCTTTGGAATGGGTACATATATGGATCTCTTCCAGTCAGTTGGCCAGGTAGCTGTCTTCCAAATCTCTTGGCATAACCAAGTGAGTGCCTCCAGTGTGGCATCCATTTGTTGAAACATCTCAATGGGTATTCCATCAATTCCTGGAGCCTTGTTCTTTGCCAATTCCTTCAGTGAAGCTTCGACTTCTTCCTCCAGTATCATTGGTTCTTGATCATATGCCACTTCCTGAAGTGGATGAAGATCAACCAGTTCTTTTGGGTACAGTGACTCTGTGTATTCCTTCTATCTTCTTTGATGTTTTCTGCATCATTCAATATTTTGCTCATAGAATCTTTCAATATTGCAACTTGAGGCTTAAATTTTTTCCTCAGCTCTTTTAGCTTGAGAAATGCTGAACACATTCTTCCCCTTTGGTTTTCTAACTCCAGGTCATTGCACATTTCATTATAGTAATTGGCTTTGTCTTCTCAAGCTGCTCTTTGAAATCTTCAGTTCAGTCCTTCTATCTTGTCATTTCTTCCATTTGCTATGATTACCCTCTGCTCAAGGGTAAGCTTCAGAGTCTCTTCTGACATCCATTTTGGTCTTTTCTTTTTTTCTCGTCTTTTTAATGACCTCTTGCTTTCTTCATGGATGATGTTCTTGATGCCATCCCACAATCTTTCTGGTTTTCAGTCACTGGTGTTCAATACATCAAATCTATTCTTTAGATAGTCTCTAAATTCAGGAGGGATATATTCAAGATCATATTTTGGCTCTCATGGACTTGTTTCAATTGTCTTCAACTTCAAGTTGCACTTGCATATGAGCAGTTAATGGTCTGTTCCACAATCAGCTCCTGGCCTGGTTTTGGCTTAAGATATTAAGCTTTTCTATTGCCTCTTGCCACAGATGAGGTCAATCTGATTCCTGTGTATTCCATCTGGCGAAGTCCACATATATAGCCACCATTTGTCTTGTTGAAAAAAAGTATTAGCAATGAATTAGTTGTTGGTCTTCCAAACTTCCATCATGCGATCTCCACCATTATTTCATTATTATTTCATTATTTCAGTATTGTATTTGGTCACCAAGACCAAATTTTCCAACTACCAGTGATCCTTCTGCACTTCAGTCACCAGTGATAATCAATACATCCCGATTGCACATTTGGTGAATTCAGGCTGCAGAAGTTGATAAAATCTTCAATTTCTTCATCTTTTGCTTTAGTGGTTGGTGCATAAATTTGAATAATAGTTGTATTAACTGCTCATCCTCATAGGCTTATGGATGTTATCCTATCACTGACTGCATTGTACTTCAGGACAGATCTTGAAATATCCTTTGTGATGATGAATGCCATGCCATTCCTCTTCAAATTGTCATTCCCAGCATAGTAGATCATATGGTTGTCTGATTCAAAATGTCCAAAACCAGTCCACTTCAGCTCACTAATGCCTAGAATGTCCATCTTTTTGTGTTCCATTTCATTTTTGACAACTCCCAATTTTCCTTGATTCATATTTCATACATTCCATGTTCTGATTATTAATGGATGTTTGCAGCTGTTTCGCCTCAATTTGAGTCATGTCATGTCAGCAAATGGAGGTCTCAAAAGGTTTACTTTATCCATATCAGTAAGGCTGGCCCTACTCTGATGATGCCACTCTTTCTCAGTCGTATTTTGAAAGTCTTCCGACCTAAGTGGCTCTTCCTCCTACACTGTATCAGACAGGGTTTCTGGGCTATTCGAATAGGGGCCTATATTGTAACAGACAGTGTTTCTCTGCTATTTGTAAGGTTTTCCCTGGCCAATCTTTGAGAAGTAGATGGCCTCCTCCTTCTTCAAAACAAGGAATACAAATTATTTAAATGTGTAAACAACTTTTTACTTTTCTTTAGTAATGCTTCAACTATTTCCCTTTTAAGTATAATATAAGGATCTCTGGTAGTGCTGTGGTTAAGGCACTGGGCTGCAAACCAAAAGGTTGGTGGTTTGAACCCATCAGCAGCTCCGTGGGAGAAAGATGAGGCAGTCTGCTTCTGTAAAGATTTACAGCCTTGGAAACCATGAGGGTCACTATAAGTTGGAATCAGCTTTATGGCAAGTGGTTTTGGTTTTGGTTTAAGTACTACATAATGGGAGCTCTGGTGACTGCTAACCAGAAGGCTAGAGGTTCAATATTATTTTTATGACAATGAAGCAAAATTATATAAGCTATAGGCACATAGAACCATCTGTTTTGGTTATATGAACAAAATATCAGGTATCAATTAGAAAAAAATAGGGGGGGGTCACTGATTGGCTGAAATTATATTAAATAATGGGGTGTGGGTGAGGGGGTGGATGTTGTTCCATATGCCATAAATCAGACTCTTCTAAGTAAAACTTAGAAAATGTATACATTTTGATATCCTACTTATAAAGGCCAGACATTAATTAGCTTATAGAATTTCAAAGCTGGAAGAAAATTTCAGTAAGCGAGGAGTGGGTGTAATTTTTGCCTTTCTTTAAGCATATAATGAATATATCATATAATTTTTTCTGTATTGTCTAATGGTTTTGGTATTTTTCAAACTAGATAATATAGCACTTTTCAGAGATCAGTATGCTCTCAGATTTTAAACCACTTGTATTTCTAGCTCTGAATGATACATATAAAATTGTATTTCTGATCAGTGTATATTTATAATCCTCTAAAATGACTAGATTAAATGATTAAAAAAAAAAGAGTAGGTGGAGGGCAAGAACATGCAAGAAGGACTTTAATGAAAGCTGTGCCATTTGCAGAATTAAACATCAACCCTACTTGGTTAGCATATGTAGGCGAATGCTTTTGTAAGTGCTTCTGGGGAAAAAAAAAAAAAAAAAACTCAGTAAATATAAAAGGAAACAGATATGTGGGTATACTTCTGCCTGCCTACGGGTTAATCTTTCTACTCACTAAGAAGGCTAAGTATGATTATTTAGGAACTGTTTATCTAACTTGCAAACTAGCCATGGGGTTTGCATTTTCTTCCTGTCACTACCAGATTTTTGCATAGTTTACTATTTGTTAACAATCTCTACTGGAATGGCAGGTAAGGACAATATGCATGTATGTACCCATCACACTTCAAAAGGGATCTGAAGATCAAGAGTAAAACTTTGTTCAATGGACTTTGTAACTTTGAGTTTTTGGCCTCAGTCAGCACTGACAGTATGTATTGACTGTACATAACGATTTTAAAAATCATCCTGTATTTCCTAAATAATCTTGAGAAATTAGTAACTTGATGGCTATTCTTTACAGACAGAGACAGAAACTTTTGTTTCCAAGTAGAACACAGGAAAAGAGCTTTCTTTCAGGCCTACTAATAATGAGGGAGAAGGACAATTTCAAAATGTAACAAAAACTGCACAAAGATGTACAGTGTGGCATAACTCAGAGTAAAACAACAATATCAGAGAACTTGCAAGTATTCAAGAATGGGTGGCATAGATTCTTTCTCTCTCTTACTGTCAAGAAATAACAAAGGTGGCAAGAAAAATGCTACATTATCTTGTCAGAAGGGCAGTCACCTGGGACTCCTCTGAGCTTTTACTGCAGTACTAAGAATGCCTCTGTTCCTTTCCTGTTAGCAGCAGAGCCAAACTGAGGCCACAAAGTGCTTCCTTTCTCATGAGAAGTTAGGGGACATGCAGCCAAAAGATCACCTTCAGGCTCAGTACTGAAACCTGGTAGTACAAGTGTAAGGCAGGGCACATGATACAGTACAAACAAAAAATGAAGACAGAAGAAATCTTTAAGGTGGGGTCCTGAACCCCGAAAAATAAGTAAGAAAAAGTAAAGTGGAGCCCAACCTTGCAGATCTTGTAGAGAGATTCCTGACCATCTCCTCCAGTATCTTTAAAGTAATCATGTGCAGGAAACGTACGATGAATATCTCGAGTAATAACACTCTCCTGGGCTGAGTCCTAAAAAAGGAAATAAAAGCATGGTCATTAATTTTTAATTTTTTAAAAAAGCTATGAAAAATAACATATATACATGGTAAAATAAAATAATCCAAACAACAACAAAAAGTATACCTTACCCTCAAAAATCCCTCTTCCACCTCAGATCCATAGTCCCATTCTCCTCAGACAAGTGTTTCCAATAGTTTCTTTTGTGTGCTTTTATCTATTTATTTTTAAGTGTATGTGTATGGGGGAAGGGACATAGAGGAGGAAAAGAAATGAAGAGAAGTTGTATATATGTATCTCTAATCTTTGCCTTTTGAAACACAAAGAGAAGCAAACTGTATCTGTTCCCTCCATTTAATAAAATAACTTATAGAATGTTCTTTATACATACATATAAAATGTATTTCATTCCTCAAATAGCAGCTAATCAAAAGAATGAGGTTCACCTGGATATGGATATATCCTAATTTACTTAACAATCTCCTATCAGTGACTATATATTTTTGTGTGATTGTTTTCCTATTTCTACTACAAACAATACCAAAATGGACATCCATAAATATATATCTTACATATGTTCAAGAGCAGATCCTAGAGGTGGGATTGGTAGGCCAAAGGGTATGATTATTTTCATTTTTGATAAAGGTACTTTCCCTCCAGAGATGTGGTACCTATACATACTCCCAACAATGGTAGGCTGTGCGTTTCTCTACACTCTCCCAATAGCACATATTCTCTAGCTTTCTAATCTTCAACAACTTGAAAAGTGAAAACCCAGGCCATATTACACAATTTAAAAAGTAAAAATATTATCAAACTTTTCCCCATGGTAGGTTAATTATCTAATTTACTCACTCTCCAAAATAAAAGATCTGCAAGCTACTATATGAAGATTATTTATGCTTTAAAGATAGACCTCAAGATCTTTTTTTTTCTTTAGACAGATTCAGGATGTAAAAGCTTAAAACTGAGTAAAATTCTAAGCTTTGTAAGAAACAATCAGTCATTTGATTTGAATTTCTTCCTGGAAATGTTGGTTGTTGTATCTATTTAAATATCAAGAAAATAGGATGGGACTATGTCTAGCAACCCTGCTCATGAAAATATTTTGTACAATTCAAAGAAGCATCAAAGACAACTAATTGCAAATTAAAAGTATTGTTTAATGTCTTCCTTCCATAAAGATTTAAACAAATCCCTTCTTTCAGCCTCAAATCAAGAAAGAAAAAAAAATGTTTAATATATGAGTTACTTTGATGAATTCTATTTCCCATTCTCTTTCTAGCTGAGAAGTATACAAGAAGAAGGGGGTAGCTGATTAGCTCTAAGTTAAGCCAGAGCTTTCTCTTGCTGCCTTTTTCATTTCAGCTGCCATTTCATGCTGGGTGGTAATTAGACCTTATAAAGTGAAAAGCAAGAAAGGAAGCAAACTGAAAAGTTACAAATTTGCTAGCAAGCACCAAACATATTGCAAATCAGTTCAGAGGAAATTCTGTTGGCTTAAAGGAATGGAAAGGAGCTCCAGCAGCTTGGCTGCTAACTGTAAGGTTAGCAGTTTGAACCTACCAGCCTCTCCGCAGGAGAAAGCAATGGATGTCTGCTTCTGTAAATATTTACAGCCTTAGAATCTCTATGGGGGCAGTTCTACTCTGCCCTATAAGGTCTCTTTGAGTCAGCAATGGCTTTGATTTGGAAAGGAATGTAATGGTAAAACTGAATAAAAATGGTACTTTAAAAAATCACTATAACTTAAATGAAAGGATAAAGAAAGTTTATCATTGTCAAAGAAATTGAGGTTCTAATGATAAAACTTTGGAGAAGGCTGAGGGTATAGAGCAGGGTAAGTATAAAGGTAATGTATAAAGAGATAATAACATGAAATGTTGGTTTTATCTCTTCTGTTACAGAGTCCACGTAGACCAAAGTTTATTGCTCGGGTTTTCTCCAGTGCCCAAGACCATGTATAGGGTTGGTAGACAAATGTTTCTACAAGTATATCTGTATGTTCTGTAAGAACTGCCAGGTACACAGTAGAGCTGACAAGGGACAAGGTTGCAGTCACTTCTTGGCCACAGCCAGTTACCTGGAGGGAGCAAGTAGTTGGACCTGGGGCTTGTGACCATGGTTGCAGGGGATATCAAGCTCAATTGGTATAACATACTACACAAACACAATTTCATATCCTACTTTGGCAAGTAGCAACTGGGATCTTAAAAGCTTCAAGCAGCCATCTAGATGCAATGATGGGTCTCTCCTTGTCCAGAGCAAAGAAGAACAAAGAAAACCAAAGACGCATGGAAACAATTAGTCCAAGTGACTGGTACATCATGCCTCATATGATCCTCAGCCTGTATGACTATAAGACCAGAAGAACTAGATGGTGTCTGGCTACCACTGTCAACCACTCAGAGGGGGATCTATGTAGTAGATCCTGGATAGAGTGGGAGAACAATGTGGAACAAAACTCAAAATCATTTTTTAAAAAAGGGGGAGGGAGCAACCAGGTTTGCTCTTCTGATAGAGCCTGGTGGAACTCCTGAGACTATGACCATAGCTGCCCTTCAGGTCTAGAACTGAAACCTCTCTTATGGCCTCCAGCAAAACAAAAGATAGGCATATGAGCTGAACATTTACATTAGGTAGATACACTCCTTGGACAGATCAGTCATGGGAGAATACAAGGGCTGTGTATGCACAGGGAGACAGCTCATGGGGGAGGAGTGCATGGAAGGGAAGGACACAGGGAAGAGGTGGCTATGGGGAGGAAGTGGGAGGAGAGCTGTTGCATTGTGAGGGATTGCAGACAATGTCCTGAGACAAAGTGTATGTGAACTGCTGTGGAAGATGAATTTGCTCTGTAAACTTTCACCTAAATCACAATAAACATTTTGAAAAAAAGGAAATACAGTCTTGGTGATAGAAATTAACCAGAGATGGGATGATAGACTTTTGCAAGATGAAAAACTTATTGCAAATAACTTTTTCACCAACATAAATAGCAGCTATACACACAGACTTTGCCAGATGGAATACCAAAGAATCAGATCAACCACATCTGTGGAAACACGCAATGGAGAAGCTCAGTATCTTCAGCCAAAACAAGGCCAGGAGCTGACTGTGGAACAGCCCATCAGTTGCTCGTATGCAACTTCAAGTTGAAGTTGAAGAAAATTAAAACAAGTTCATGAGAGCCAAAATATGTGCTTGATTACATCCCACCTGAATTCAGAGACCATCTGAAGAACAGATTTGATGCACTGAACACCAGTGACCAAAAACCAGACAACTGTGGGATGACATCAAGAACATCATACATGAAGAACACCAAAGGTCAGTAAAAAGACAGGAAAGGAAGAAAAGACCAAAATGGATGTCAGAAGAGACTCTTGACACTTGCTCTTCAATGAAGAGTAGCTAAAATGAATAGAATAAGTGACAAGATAAAAGAGCTGAACAGAAGATTTGAAAGAGCAGCTCGAGAAGACAAAATCAACTATTATAATGAAACATGCTGTTATGGCTTTCATTCAAACAGAACAAGGGGATACTGCATGCTTTAAAACCTGGAGTTAGAAAAAGGGAAAGAAACAAAAGAGAAGAACACACTCAGCATTTCTCAGTTGAAAGAAATGAAGAAAAAATTCAAGTCTCAAGTTGCAATATTCAGATTCTATGGGCAAAATATTGAACAATGGCAGGAAGCATCAAAAGAAGATGGAAGGAATAGAGAGTCACTGTATCAAAAAGAATTGGTCAATGTTAATCCATTTCAGGAGGTGGCATATGATCAAGAATTAATGATACTGAAGGAAGAAGTCCAAACTGCACTGAAGGAATCAGCTAAAAACAAGGCTCCAAGAATTGATGGAGTACCCATTGAGATGTTTCAACAAACAGATGCTGCACTGGAGGCACTTACTCATCTATGCCAAATAGATGGAGAACAGCTATCCGGCCATCTGATTGAAAGAGATCCATATTTGTACCCATTCCAAAGAAAGGTGATCCCACATAATGTGGAAGTTATCAGACAATATCTTTAATATCACATGCAAGTAAAATATTGCTGAAGATAATTCAAAAATGGTTGCAGCAGTATATTGACAGAGAACTTCCAGAAATGCAAGCTGGATTCAGAAGAGGACATGGAATGAGGGATATTGCTGCGAATGTCAGAGGAATCTTGCCTGAAAGCAAAGAATACCAGAAAGATCTTTACTTGTGTTTTATTGACTATGCAAAAGCATCAACTGAGTGGATCATAACAAATTATGGATGACACTGAGAGGAATGGGAATTCCAGAACATTAAATTGTGCTCATGAGGAGCCGGTACATAGATCAGGAAGCTTTCATTCAAACAGAGCAAGGGGATACTGCATGCTTTAAAAATAGGAAGGGTATATGCATCAGGGTTATATCCTTTCATCATACTTATTCAATCTGTGTGCTGAGCAAATAATCCAAGAAGCTGGACTATACGAAGAAGAACATGGCATCAGGATTGGAAGAAGACTCATTACCAACCTGCTATATGCGAACAATACAACCTTGCATACTGAAAGTGAAGATGACTAGCAGCACTTACTTATGAATATTGAAGACTACAGTAGGAAGTATGGATTACACTTCAACTTAACGAAAACAAAAATCCTCATAACTGGACCAATAAGCAGCCTCATGATAAATGGAGAAAAGATTTATGGGGTCAAAGATTTCATATTTCTTGGATCCACAATCAACTCTAATGGAAGCAGCCATCAAAAAATCAGAGAAAGTATTGTACAGGGCAAATCTTCTCCAAAGACTTCTTTTAAGTGCTGAAGAGCTGTGGTGTAGTAAATTACATGGTATGGTTTTCTAGCCATTGTCTTTGTAACTCCCCCTTTGTCATGAACAACTGAGTAGCTGCTTGTTAAGCCATCCACCTGGGACAGCATGAAGTAATCTGGGGAAGTTCGCTCTCTCTCATGTGTTGGGATTGGTTGGTTTTGCCACTCTGACAGGCTCAAA